AGTAAAGGAATAAATTAATAGAATGTTCACATTTTGAGTGATGTCATTAGTGACCCCATCATCACCATCAAACTTAATTAATTACTGCTAGCAATATTACTACTACGAATACTATTATTGTTATTATTATAATAAGATTTGTTTTTATTGCACAAAACACAGTTACAAAGTGTGCAGCCCTTTACAATTTGTCAGATGCACAGTTTCACATATACAACAACACAATAATGCAAACAACAAAACAAAAACAATACTACAAACATACACTAAGTTGGCAGTTTAYTGGATACACTTGATTTTTTTCTGTGSAATTAAAACAACATATTTTGTCGAATGATTACGTAGAAAAATGTATATGCACCTATGGTATAAATGAACTTATATGTTTATGTCCATCCAGTAAATGTTAATCTCCGAAAGGCTTATTTTGTGGAGACTATTTTCAGAAACCACAATGTGCACGACGACCAGAATGTGGCACCTTAAATCCATGTCAGTTTGTAGAGGCACAGTGGAAACAGCCATCAGGGGAAAATCCCAAGTCTTATACTCCAATGCAACGGTCTACACTGGACAGAAGAAGTRGATGAGCATGAAAAGGAAGCAATCCTGGAGCCCTTCAAGTTCATATTTTGYAACACTGAGGATATGTGGAAATTCTGTGAACAAACAATAGACCAAAGAAATTATTTGGCCTATTGTGAATGTCACACGAGTGAGTTTTTGTGTTAGAGAATAAAGGGCTACRGAACATTTGATCATGTTGTGACTTGGTGTGTTTTTTATGTTTTTCTCATTGATCACTTAATAATTTTATTTGGACTATACTGTAGATATCAAGAGTTAGGGTAGTATTTAGTTGTACTTAGGTGTTCCAGCAGCACAAGAACATAATTAGCATAGACATAGAACCAAACATGAAATATAGCTGCGTTAWAAGTTTTATCTTAAGAGAATGAGTATTTGTCTCTGGCTGAGCTCCATTCTTTGATTGAACTGATTCTAGAKACACATGATGGCTGATGAATTCAAGGAAGAAAGTAAACTGATTTCTTTATCCAGTGGAAAAATATGAAACGGTTTCAGTTAGACTTGTACGACACAACTTTATTCTCTGTGACATAATCCAACACACTTAAAACCGCAAATATTCAAAGAAAAAAAAAATTGGAATTGGAAAACTACATTTGGCTTCTTGTCAGTTTTCYTATTGAATTTAAGATGTTTTACAAGAATCTGTCCTTTTCTCTGCAGGTAATTCTTTASAGGTKTAAAGATAGAAACCACTCCCTTCTGCATTCTGCTGAAAAATTTGGAGATGGAATGAAATGGTTTCTTCCTGCGAGCTCTATGAATGGCAGTCTTGTGATCCTCACCATCAACAGGTCTGATGGCGGCTGTAGCATCATTGTTTGRAGAAACAGAGAAATCATCATCAACATGTACACACATGTAAACACTTGGCTTTGAATTCTCAGCTTCAATGTCGTCAACTTCATCTCTGGAGACCTCCACATCTGTATCGTAGTAACCGTCAGAGGTTGCTGCCTCTTCACCATCTTGTTCTTCTTCGTAACTTTCCCTGAGTTCATGTTCTCTGCTGATGTTTGTGTCTGAAGAGACGGACACTACATTTTCAGTGTTGGAATCTTCATCTGGGCGGTCTTCTCCATCTGAAAGATTGATTGGTTCATCTCCACAACACGGAGATGGCACATTCATGACAGGAAAGGCTGTGYCTGTGTTGGAGTTGGAGTTGGTTTCTTTTTCTTCCTCCAGGTAGGCCATTGTTATGAAACGATGGTTGAGGGCTTCGCTGGGAGTCATTCTCTGCCCAGCGTTCACATTCAGACAACACTTGATGAAGTCCAAAAATGCCATCCTTTCTTTGTACTCATGATCATCTGGATTTTCTCGCCATCGCATCACTGCATCCTCCAAACTCAACAAGTCAGAAGGTAGTTGGATATCAAGTGGCCGGTCACCAGTCACATCCTCATACTCTTCTGGCGTCCTTAGTCTCCAGCCTGCGTCCTGATCTGAGGTGAAATACCTCCAGCTGTGTTTTCCTGCACTTATCAGCTCATCATTTGGCTGGCCCAGCCAGTGCAGAAGAGCTTTCACCCAGTCGTATTCAGAGGTGTCAGGGAAGAAGTCAATGCCAAAGTACAAATATGCCACGATACAGCCTAATCCCCACATGTCCACCGACTCTGACAAGGGGAGGCCCAAGACCACTTCTGGAGCCCTGTATGAAAGGGTCTGTACGGTCATTCCAGTCCTCAAATGGCTCAATAGACGAGCCAGTCCAAAATCAATGAGCTTGATCCTGAACGGCTGACTCTTTTGGTTGACCAGCATTATGTTGTCCGGTTTCAAGTCCGTGTGAATCATGCCAGTGTTCTTCAGCGCTTTCAACGCAATCAATAACTGCTGGGTCACAAGGCGGATTTCACAGAGACTCCGTGGCATCATATCATTCTCTGWCATCAGGTCAAARAGGCTCCTGTCCAGCATTTCRAAAACAAGACAAGACATTCCATGGAAATGGAACTTCTCAATGAATTTCACAATGTTGTGCTGGTCAGGGTTGAGAGCGCTGAGCTTTTCCAACATCGCAAATTCTCTTTGATTGAACTGGTCGTCATCCAGTTTGTGCATTTTTATAGCCAACAGCTCTTGGGTCCGCAGGTTGACACATCTGGCGACTCGGCCAAAACCTCCTTCTCCACTTAGGCCCAGTATTTTGTAGCTGGTGGTACCGCTGTGGAGTACTTGAAATGTTCCTGATTCTTCCGCCATKCTCATTGATGATGTTGCTGCTGTTCAGAAGATTTTGCAGGAAAATGGTCCAAAAGCTCTTGACTTGTGACTGGCTTTCACAATCCCAAGTCTAATCTGACCACAGCCAACTAACTGATCAGATAAAGGGTTTCACATCAAAGGCATAAAGAAGTAAAGGAATAAATTAATAGAATGTTCACATTTTGAGTGATGTCATCAGTGACCCCCTCATCACCATCAAACTTAATTAATTACTGCTAGCAATATTACTCCAACAACTACTATTATTGTTATTATAATAAACACAATAATGCAAACAACAATAAAACAAACATACACTTCGGTACACTGCAATGCAACGTCGACACTGTAGACCGTTGCATTGGAGTATAAGCTACACTCTGCAAGTACTTTTAAGAATGTAAAATCATGTACATAGTTACTTTTGCACTGCACAGCGCAGCTTGCTTGATATGCTGTTGGAGGATAGATTATTTAGCTGCTGACAAGGCTCCATTACAATGATCGTCCCATAAGTGACCTTTCCCAGTGCAGGACCTTTATCGGCAGCCCCCAACACTGTGGGGTGGAAGGATATTCATGCTAGGAGTGAATGAGATGTGTGTATTTTCACACACAAATCGTCCTTGACCTGATGATGGCCACATCAGGGAGCGCAGAGCATGATATTGCATTTTATAATGTTATCCAGGGCTGCACCTTACACTTCATTTCTTACCGCATTTGACACACTTTAAACAAGTGTGTCGTTCAGATTGATTTTAAGATGACTTCTGTGCTTGGAATATAAACACAGGGTGAGTTGTGCAGTGGTCTCTGGTTTACATACAGCCCCTCAGAGCAGCGTAGTAAAAGGGGTGAGGAAGGTGAGGAAACACTTGACATCTGTATTATCGAGTGTGCCTGCTGGACAAACTACCAATATGGACACTGCAGATGCAACAGAAGTGAGGATTTGTGTGCAATGCAGGAAAAATGAGAATAGCAGAGTGTATACCTCTGTCAAGGTCCGACAGTCCCATTAATTTCAAACTGCACAAATTTAATTCACATATATTTATATGAGTTCCCTAAATGTGCCTCATTCATCCAGATCCATAAATGATTCCCTGGGAAATCAGTGACAATGTTGAAAAACACCGCATCTACCAAAGTTAAACAAAAGTTCGGATCCACACCAACATTTGATGGGTTCTTCCCAGACCGATAGTTTCACTGTAATCTGTCAGGTAGTTTTTTGTGGACTCTTGCTCACAAACAAACAAACAAACAAACAAACAAACAAACCAAGAAACAAACTAAAGGATGGGGGTGAAAACATAACCTCCTTTGCAGAGGTAAAGAATGTAGTACATACAGACAAGAAGGAAAAGATGAAATTTAATGTTTAGAGAAACAATTCAGTCTAAATTTGTCTTTGCTTCAGCTTTTGTTGTCGTTGTTGAGAATAATAATGATTACATTTCCATTCCTTTCTCATGTTTATACATGAATATGAGAACATTTAAGTTTTCTTACTAATAATTGACATCTCATATGTTGTTGTGGATTTAATTAATTTTGTATAAACAAAATGAATACACTTCAGACCATGTTTCCACTACCTTGCATTCATGACAATGTGCTATTTTGCATTTTTCTTCCCCTCACAAAGCGCTATAAGGGCCGCCTACAGCTCTCTCCCTAATAATGGCCCTTTGAATCCACTGAAGTACAGATGACTTCCATTCAGCGGCTTCAGTTTCAGGGCGCTGCCATTGTTCCCGCTGCCTCACTGTCACTTTGCCGTGATCTTACTGGACACTTGAATAAACCTGAGACATCCTTAATGTTATTAAGAACTCCTGTGCTTGTCTCACTCAGATAAGTCAAAACGCCTGCAGTGAAAAAATCTATTTGTGTCAGGACATTTTGGCTTTTTTCAATTAGCCGCCTGCTTTTCAGAAGAAGGTATCCAAGTTGCTGCAGAAATGAATTACCTTGTTTTCTCCCATGTGAATGACATTTAATTATTTATGTCCCACTTCAAAAAAGGTAACTGGATTCATTCTGCTAGAAATCAATCTGTTCATTGTGATTTTATACAAGATACACAGTTTACTGTGCATAATGCTTGTCTGATGCAAACCCCCTCTGGATTCTTATGATGACATAGTGTATAGATCACATTTAGTCATTGATTAGTCTTTAGTCTGTCGCACTGAATTAAAACAGCTCCTCATAATAACTGCTGTGTAAAGCTAACTGTCACCCATACACCATATGCCAAAAAATCATTTTTGTGAGTGGATGTTTTTTTTTGTTTGGGAGATGTAAGGTGAATATCTCAGGAATTAGCAGCATTTATTTACACTATTACTTTGGAGCAAACATCATTTATTTATGTTGCAAAGTACGCTGGGAGCGTTTGAACAGTTTGTCACATCCAACACAAATGGCCACAAATCAAAGTTAATGTGGAATTCTCGCTGTGACTTCTCAACAAAAAAGACATTGGGGTGAAGAAGGCACGAGACTCATCTTTCTGTTTGATGGGCTTAGTTGGAAATAAACTGGAAATATTTGTGAAAAAACTGGAATCACAGAGTGGAACTGTAGGATTATGAAGAATATCAAGACAGAGGGTATTACTGAAGCTCCCAGTGCGCTGCTGCACCCTGCTGGTAGTACAGTATGAAGTCAGTGTGTGTGTTCAGCAATACGTAAACAGACAGACAGCATTTTGCAACTGCACAGCATTTGTACAGCAAAAAAAGACACCAATTCCTACATTACATTTTTTTTGACAGCTCCAGTTAATAGTGACAGTATAAAATTTTTGCTAATTAAAACATATTAAGAACTTATAATATGTGTTGCTTTGTTGTAAACATTTTAACGTATTATTATTATTTATTATTATTAATAATTATTGTAGCAATGTTGAGGTTAGGACTGTTGGTCATCAAGGTGTCACTACGGACTTTAATTGCTTCTCTTACTATATTTTTACAAACTAACAATTAGAAAGTAACTAAAAGTAATTAAATAAGAATCATTAGTTGAAGCATGTTGCAGCTCTGTATAATTTTGACCCACTGTAACAATAAAATCCTACTTTTACATGAATGCATACAGCTAAATCTGCTAACAGCTAAATCTGCTAAGAGCCCAACAGATTTATATTCTCCTATGTTTCTTATATTTCCTTACACTTAAGTATTATTATCCCTACACTTATTACACTTATTACACAGGTTACGTATTATTACGTACTGATGCCCATTTTTGACTCTTGCTGCTGTAATATTGCAAATTCCCCCATTGTGGGACTAATAAAGTATTACCTTATCTTATCTTATCTTATCTTATCTTATCTTATCTTATAACAGGGGCTATTTTTATGCATTGAGTATTTTTACTTTTATTGTTTTTAGTAAATTTTATTCCAGAGACTAATTACTAAAGAAACTTTTTAATCCAGGTTGTTAGGGTTATTTTTATTATTTTAAATTCATTTTTGTATTATTTGTACATGATCAGCCTCTGTGTTGTCAATAAAGTCGTCATGTAAAAAAAACACTGAATTCCTCAAGGCGCCAACGGAAGTCATGTTATGGCCACGTGACTTCTCATCTCACTTGTCATTGGCGGACGCTTCCTGCTTAGGTTTCCCGCGAACTCGGCTCCGTGTAGTCTCGTGTGAGGTGGTGCCGGAGTCTGAGGCCACGGTGCTCAGGTTCTTCTCTCTACGCGCAGATAACAAACCTGCACGACCACAAACATGGCGAAACAAAGCTCTCTGTTCAATTTCTTCGCCAAGTCTCCGCCGCCGGTCTCCAAGCCGAAGACCAGTCCCTCTCCGGCCGAGGCGGACCTGCCCTCCTCGGTGGAGAAGTCCAGCTCGTCTCCGAAAGAACAAGCGAAACAACAACAACAAGGCAAGGGCAACAAAGTCAAACCGAAGACTGAGTCCAAGTCTGTAAAAGGTGGATTCAAGAAACTGTTCGGAGACAAGGCCGCTGCAGCTAAAGAAAGGTGAGTGAGCCGAGCTGATGTCGGGGGCGGTGTAATTGCTGGAACCACGTTTGTCACCGTTTAGCTTCTTCGTGGTGAAGAGCGTCTGCAAAAACTTCAAACTGTTTCTGCAGCTCTGAACCACGTCATGTAAAAACTAGGGAAACCAACTGGTTCATTTCATGCATTCAAGCAGCCTGACATCTGAATAGTGACCTGATACCGTTTCCCTTGTTCAAATCACTGCTAATCTAATGTAAGTACGTGGATTACAGAGAATATCACCAGTGGCAACAACAGCCACACTTTACGTGACTGTCTGTAGCTGCCATCACACCATGTGCTGGTCTGGTGATAGTTGTTGTATTTGAGATTCATCCTGGAGATTTGCTCAATGCTACAATCAAAATATTGATCATTTTGCTCTACATCCACGAGATGACATGTTGTGTTTATCAGAACTTAATAGAATGAACCTGATTGCAACATTTATACTAAAAGTCATTCTCACGTTGATTACTTAGTCATTCTCACAGTTGATTACTTAGTCATTCTCACAGTTGAATTACAGAGGCAGTAAAAACATTTGTCACTCTGAATTTTGGCAGTAATTTTCAGTACAGTTTTAAGTGCAGTATTAAGATATATCCTGATATGTGCTGAAAGTGCAACTGCATTTATATCAAGACATTAGCACGGGTTGTTGAGTGTTATTGCACATTTCAGGATGTTTTATTCTTTTCAGTTGGGTTGAGCTGATACTGTTGCACAGATGTAAATTTAAGGGCATTTGCATTTATAATTATTAAAACTAAACAGGCAATAAAACACCCAGGATGATGTTGTTCAGTTACACTTTCACTTCGACCTAGATATTTACCAAAGTGTCTTTTTTTCTTTTCTTTCCTGCAGCAGCTCCACATGCTCGTTTAGTGCTGGTGCCCTCGTGTGGGCAAAATTAGAGGGACACCCTTGGTGGCCATGCATGGTGGTACCCCAACCTCTGACTGGACAGCAGATGAGAGGCCGCGGTCGAGCGCAACGCATTCACGTCCACTTCTTCGATGAA